GTGAGTTGCAGTGAGACGGTCAGAGTGAGTTGCAGTGAGACGGTCAGTGTACTCGGACCTCTGACAAGCCTCTGGGACTCGCTGTGGAGCTGCTTCATGGCCTCCCTGCTGGCTCGAGCAGCTTTCCTCTCCTGCGGGGACAAGCGGACGTTTCAGCTGATGTTCTACGTCTCACGGTTCTGCTTCACCTTCAGAACACTTACCACTCGCTGCAGCCTCCCTGGAACCTCCTCGTCCTGCTCTTCACCCTGCACACAAATCAAACGCACCCTTTCAAACCCAGCTGCTCACTTCAGACAGCCGAAGGAGGAGCAGCCCATTGTCACCTGGTGTCTCTTCAGCTTCTGTTTGACTGAAGCTCGGATGGCGTTCAGAGACTCTTCATCCTCCTCTTCATCACCCAGACCGGTGTCAAACAGGTCCGTGTCCCCCAGAGGACAGCCGCTGTCATTCAGAGGACGAGGCGTGCCCTGAAAACACAACACTTTGGCTTTAAAAGGAATATGAAAGCTGAAGTCACAGCCGAAGTTTGAAACCAGAACCAAAGCCCTTCGGCTGATTTTTGATCCAAACATCTTTAATCTCACTTCAGCTCTTCCACAGAACTTCTTCTTCTTGAGCTTCTCAACCGCTCTGCTGCGCTTGTCCTTTCTGTCTTGATGTCGCCGGCTCCTCTTCACCTCCTGCTCACTGTCATCACTATCAACAGGAGCCCGGGTGATTCTCCTGCTCCTCTGCGCTCCTTCAGCCTTCCTCCTGCCCTCCTCCTCTTCTCCACTGGAGACGGGCAGCAGCCGAGCTTCGGCCACGCTCCTCTCCTCCTCGCTGTCAGTGATGGCGTTGCGACGAGGCTTCCTGTGAGTCCACACGTCTTCACCAGAGTCTGAGAAGAAACAAACATTTAGAAACGAGTCGACCCGTCCAGACAGAACCGACCAGAACCACAGAAACCCGGGCAGCTTTGGTCCGTCGTCCGACCCGTTTTAACGTTTAGCTTGACAAGGTAGAACCGAACCTTCGGGTAAAACTCTCAATAAACGGAGAAAAGGCCGAACGTCGGCTGATTTCTGTGATGGGATGTCTTAAAGACATTGGCACCCATCTGGACGGTTCTGATCCGAGGCGAGCCACAGGTTTGAGCCCGGGCCGAGCCGTTGTCACAGATCAACAGGTGAACAGTTAGGTTCTGTTGGACCGCCTCAGTGGCTCCTTAGACCCGTTTGCTCCGAGGTAAACCTCTGATTAAACCTCTACAGCTCTTTGGTACCGAACCTGGAAGGTTCTTGTCTCCGGTGTCAGCGGCCGCTCCCTCTGCAGGAGAGTCCATCCCGCTGTCCGGGTCGCTCTCTGGTGCCGTGTGGATGGAAGCTGGCAGCGCCTCGGCCTGAAACGACAACATGTGGGTTAGGAGCGCCGGTTTGGACCCGAAACAATAAACGCTCTGGTTTCAAACTCTGAGGTGGTCCAGCACGGAGACAGCTCCCCTCAGAACACTTGGGGCTCACCGCGACTCATCGTGGGACAAACCAACAAGAAACTGGTCCAGCTGACCCCCAGGGTGGTTCTGGAGAAACGAGAACAGCCCTGGACCTTAGACCAGGCCCTGATGAAAGACCAGAGCAGATTCAGCTCTAATCTGGACCTGAGGATCCAGTTCAGAGACTCTGGACTGACTTCAATCGTCTGAACCAAGTCCCAATGAAAAAATAAATAAAAATCACACAAACCACCGGGTCGACCGGGAGATCGATCACTGCTAAAAACAACGAGTTCAAAGATTTGGTGTTTAATCTGAGGTCAGTTCGGTTCTGAAGGTCCAAGACCCGGCAGGGTCTGCTCAGAACATTCAGACATAAAGAGACGATCAGGAAAAGTTCTCACCCTCCAACTCATGACTAATGCTCCTCAGGAAATCAACCACCTTATTTAACAGATTAAAAATGATGGTTTTAAATATTTTATACAAAGTTAGTCTTGTAGGGCTGTCTCAGTCTGAATTTAAAATATCTCATTTAAATTACTTTTCTTTCATTTTATCATCAGTGTTTCCCCTACCTTTACACAGGCGGGGTGCTAACCCTAACCGGAGGCTAAAGATTATTGAGCTGCACTTAGACCCGAGTGGATCATGACCCGTCATTCAACTTTATTTCTACAGGTGAGTCTCATGGAGCCCCGGGACTCATTTACAACACCTGCTTTAACAAACAGTGACGACAGCAGAGCACAGTCGTAAAGGAGGAGTAAAAACTGACAAGAGCAAGTGAAATAAAACCATATTAAAGAACAAACACAGCTAGATTATACAGTGATGTAGAAACTAAAGACCGGAACATCTGCAGGAACTGAACAGATGTTTGAAGACACTTAGAGAGGTCAAAGGTCGAGAGCTTCAGCTCTTTTTACAAGATGTTCCAGGAAACAGGAGCGGAGTAGGAGAAGGTCCTTTTGTCAAGTTCAGTCCTCACTGAGGGAACACTGCAGGTAATGATTTGTGTATCTTGGTCGACTCACATCTCTCTTTTAAGCTCCATGTGGAAAACTAGTGAAGAAACTGGAAGTTAAACTGGGTTTCTTTTTCAGAGACAGATCCTGTCTAACTATGAACCCTGAGGAACGCCTTGTATCTGTGACTTTCCTTCCCTCCATTGATCACGGTGACATTATTTACATGAACGCTCCTACAAGAACCCTGCAGATGTTGGATGCTGCAGATGTTGGATGCTGCAGATGTTGGATGCTGCAGATGTTGGATGCTGCAGATGTTGGATGCTGTCTATCATGGTGCACTAAGATTCATAACTGGCTGTGATTATCGTACCCACCACTGCACCCAGTATTCACTGGTTAACTGGTCACCATTAACTTCACACAGACTCTCCCACTGGTACATCTTCATCTTTAAATCACTTCCTGGTCTGCTGCCTTCATACATCTCCTCCTACATGTCTCTGTGTGAGTGCAGCTACAGCGTGCGCTCTCAGGACATCATTACCTGCAGTGTTCCCTCAGTGAGGACTGAACTAGACAAAAGGACCTTCTCCTACTCCGCTCCTGTTTCCTGGAATATCTTGTAAAAAGATCTGAAGCTCTCGACCTTTGACCTCTCTAAGTGGCTTCAAACATCTGTTCAGTTCCTGCAAGAACCAACGCAGACATGTTCCTGGTTTTAGGTTCTACATCGAGTTATAATCTAGATGTTTTTGTTTCATTTCATTTCTTCCATTTCCTTTTCGTTCTATACGCTTCATGATCGCCTGTTCTTGTCTGAACCTCGTCTGTGTTCTGGTTTAAAGCAGGTGTCTCTTGTAAGTGAGTCTGGAGGCTCAATGAGACCAACCTGAAGAAATAAAGGTCAAATGAACATCGGTGTTCTTCACGATGGTCTACTCCAGAGGTGTGAAACCCACTTACAGGGGGGGCCAAAATGACAACCTTCTTCAACGTAAGGGTCTGTTTCAGAGACTACATTAACTCATGGCAGATACCAACATCTTTTCTTGGTTGCAGGTTCCTCAACAAGACTTTGACTGGTTTCATTGGACGTTCTACGTCGCACTTTTGATATAATCAAAGATTAATGAAAAAATTAAAGTAATAAAAGTAATTTACTTTTAAAATATCAGCTTGGGGGCCAGATAAGATGTTAAGGAGGGCGTCATTTGGCCCCCGGGCCTTGAGTTTGACACGTGGCCTATTCACTTCACGATGACGGCCCTGAGCAGAACGACCTCGTCCATCAACCGGCAGGTTGCACCTGCACGCCCCTCGGCTGATCCTTCACATCCGTTAGTTCTCCTGAACACCTGCACAGCTTTGGTACGGTTAGCGACGACTCTACAGGTCAAGGGTCACGAAGAATGGCAGAGCTGCCAGAACTCCGTTCAGCTCTGGTTACTTTAGCAGATCAAAATATTAAAGAAGAGTTTTAAAGCTCAACTTCAGTGTTTCATTTTACAGATATAAGGGCTGAGCAGAGCCTCCAGAAACCTCCAGAAGCAGCCGGCTGAGCTTCAGGAAACGTTTCTCCTTCCTGTCCAGCCGGTCCAAGCAGATGGCTCCTCGTCCTGGTTCTGCTGGAGGTTTCTTCCTGTTAAAGTAGTTTTTCCTTTCCACTGTCTCCTTTGTGCTCGCTCTGGATGAGACTGAAGATTCAGCACAATCTGCTGCTTCCTTACAGAACTTTTACCGATTGTCTTTTATAAAGTCTGTGCATGTTTGTGTTCGGAGCCCTGTCATGACTTGTGCTGACACTCGGAGCTGCAGAAACAGGAGGCTCGGAGCAGTTCGGAGGAGCTCGGAGGAGTTCGGAGGAGCTCGGAGCTGCAGAAACAGGAGGCTCGGAGCAGCTCGGAGGAGTTCGGAGCAGCTCGGAGGAGTTCGGAGCAGTTCGGAGCAGCTCGGAGGAGCTCGGAGCAGCCTGGCTCATCTCAAGCTAGCAGCTAGCTAGCCTAGCCCCGCAGCTAACTCGAGCGACACAACTTTGATTTCGCCTTCATCCCTGCAGACTCTTTACATTTCTGCCTTAAGACGTCCCGGTATTTAACCTTCAAGTGCTGATGTTTAAAAAGTGTAATTTTACCTGTTGTTGGGTCAGAACCAGGCTCATTGCTCTCCGCCTGCTCCCTCGGATAAAACCCAACGAGGACGACTGTTCGTCGAACCGCCGCCGCTGCAACAGACGTTGAGAAAACCGGGACCGCGAAACAAAACGTTACTTCAGCCTCCTAAAGCTCATTTAGACCGCGTTTCACCGCACCGACCCGCTTCCTCCCGCCTCGTTCGCACCCGTAACGCACAGTTTGAGCTTTGGCGCGCCGGGACAGCTGGCCCGCACTGTTCGTAAGACCTGTCAATCCACGGCTTCTCGAGCTCTCATTGGTCCTTTTTGCAAGTTTGGTATCCGCCTACTGTGACGTCACAACCAACGGGCGGGGATTGGAGTGGGACATTCAAAATCAAAAAATAATAAATGAAAATGTATTCAATACAAAGTTTAATTAGCTTTAATGTATTAAACAAAAAAATACAAGAAGTTTTAACTTCCTCTTTACAAAACGAAATGTAAAACAAAACAACAATTCTTTGTTTTTAAGCAGAAAGTCCTTTCTTTAACTCTTTATGTGTTTTTTTAATTATTATTTTTATGTGTTTAATGAAGTTTGTTTGTACACGTGCTATAAAATGTTGGGACAGTGTACTTTAGCGTTCACACACACTTCCTGCATCTTTGTTGGATTCGTTGCTAGCTAACATTGTAGTTTTTTATTTGCATGAAGAAACAACACAAATGCATGAAATTAGGTTGAACTTTGGCTGCTGGATCGCAGGGCCCACCTTTGTAGTGAAAGCGCTACAGGACAATGATCTTTGTTGTAATCAGACATAACTAAAGGGGTGAATCCAGCAGTGAGTGCACATAAAGGCTCCATTTTCTATCTTCTCTTTTCTTTGTACCTGATGCCACTAGGTGCTGTTTTTTGTAACCAGGGCATCCCTTTTCATTTTTATGCCAATGTCTGTCAAATGTACTTCCCTCTGAAGCACACAGGTGCACGTTCTATCCAACCTCTTTTTGACTGCCTGTTGACATCAAGGACTGGATGTCTTTACATTCCTTAAACTGTAATGAGAAGAAAAATGAAGTCATGTTGTTTCCTCCTAATGGCACGATCAAGAACCACGGTATTGACTTGCCATGCACGATATTGGATTTTTGGTCGATATCCAATATGCCGATATGTTAAAACTTATTTGGCCGATTACCAATACTGATATTGTTTTTCTAGATCTAGTGACAGAGACTACACAGCTTTCTCTGCTGTGGAATTAAAATACTACATTATTCTGCATGGTCAGTTTGGCTGCGATCAAATGCAGATGCCAAAAAAGGGGCTGAAAGTAATGTAACACTTCAACTTGGATTATGTTTAATGTCAAATTTATTTTTTCATTCATTCATTCAACCTTTATTTCTACAGGTTAGTCCCATTGAGCCCCGAGGACTCATTGACAAGAGAGACCTGATTTAACAAAGAATGATGACAACAGTGAATAACAACGACAAGAATAGATGATCATAAAGAGGCATACAGATTTTTTGAACCCTATTCATGACATTTACGCTCTAACACAACAACAACACTCGAACAGTGCAAATCTGTAACTTTTCACAAATCTAAACTTGACGGTGCTTGTGACGTCACAATTATTATTTTATACATGAATGTTTCTGTTAAATTATTGTTTTAAAGATGAATGATTCTGTTAATTATTATTTTATAGATGAATGTTTCTGTTAATTATTATTTTATAGATGAATGTTTCTGTTCAATTATTATTTTATACATTAATGTTTCTGTTAAATTATTATTTTATGGATGAATGTTTCTGTTCAATTATTATTTTATAGATGAATGTTTCTGTTAAATTATTGTTTTATAGATGAATGTTTCTGTTAAATTATTATTTTATAGATGAATGTTTCTGTTCAATTGTTATTTTATAGATGAATGTTTCTGTTAAATTATTATCTTATAGATGAATGTTTCTGTTAAATTATTGTTTTATAGATGAATAATTCTGTTAATTATTATTTTATAGATGAATGTTTCTGTTAATTATTATTTTATAGATGAATGTTTCTG